ACCCCAAGTTCTGGTAGGGGAACTAGAGAAAGGAAATTGGTGATTTCTATGGAAGAAATTTTATTAGGCCCAACAGCAAGAGATAACCAGGGATGGGGTTTGGTTTTCTAAATAGTCTTCTGGTATTCTGGCCTGGTCACAGGGTTTGAAAGAGGATGGTGGTCCCAGGCACAGGATCTGTCTTAACAAGGCAAGCAAGAGCAGTCTGGACCCCAGCATATGCCAGTGAATCCACCGTGGAAAAGCAAACGGTGGGAGTAAATTCCACTCTCTAGTGGGTGACTTTTTTTTCCTTCTCACTGCTGTGACCACACACCTGACAAGAGCAAGTTAAGGAAGGGAGGGTTTGCTTTGGGTCAGAGTTTGAAGGTACAGATAGTCTTGGGGGTGGAGGAGTTCTTAGGGCGGGAGCAGGAAGCTAACTGGTCACATTTCACCTGCAGTCAGGAAGCTGAGAGAGATGAAGCCTGGTGTTCAGCTTTCTATTATTAATGTCTTAAAAGTCACATTTACATGAGAGTGGTTCAGCCTGGGCATAAAATAAAGAAAAAAATAAAAAAAATAAGAAAAATCACATTTACTTTGTGTGTGTGTGTGTGTGTGTGTGTGTGTGTGTGTGTGTGTGTGTGTGTGTGTGTGTGTTGGAAGAGAACATTTCAGGGGCCAGTTTTCTCCTTCCTCCATGTGGATCCCTGAGATGTAAATCAAGTTCTCAGTCTTAGCAACAAGGCCCCTTACTGATGAGACACCTGACAGGTCCTGAAAGAATGTTTTTATGCCAATGCCACTTTAGATTATTTTATTGATGTTTTTAAAAATGTCAGAAATATGGCAGATTTTTGTTCCCACTAGTTGCGGTTTCAAAGCTCATCAGAAAGGCTAGTGCAGTAGATACAGACAGACAAACTGCAACACCACACTGTGTAGTGACTGAGAATGCAGTGATGTTGCAGAGCCTTTCCTTGATCAAGGACCAAGGAGCACCTTCTCCCAGGTATGGGGAGTGAAGGCGGTGGAGGCTGGCGGCTCATCACTTTGCTTTGTCCTCCCAGGGCCCAAGGAAGCTTCCTCTTTCCAGAAGCAGCTGATCACCTGGCAGGAAAAGAAAAGGCTTGCTCCGTCTTTTCCGGAGGACCACATGGCTACAGAGCCTCCCATGAGATCAGTGGACGGTACTGTTCTGATGATGCCCAGCTCAACCCTCCTGTCCCCTCACCCCCCCCCACTATGCTCCACTTCCCCAAAACCCTCCTGAAAAACAATTGGTTTGCTCATTTGCCTGATGTTTAGTTGTGTGGGTTTATCTATCTATCTATCTATCTATCTATCTATCTATCTATCTATCTATCTATCTATCTATCTATCTATCTGTCAATGCTACATACTTATCCTCTGTGTGATGGTAACTGGTAAAGATGTTTGCCCATTCTTTAGCCTGACTCTTCCCTCACTTGATGGTGTCCTTTGCTGAACAGATTTTTTTTTTTTTGGTTTCATGATGTCCCATTTATTGACTGTTGTTTTAATGCCTGTGTCTGTTCAGAGAGTCCTTTCCTGTGGCAATGAGTTCAAGCATATTCCCTACCTTATCCTCTAGCAGATTCAGGGTATCCAGTTTTATGTTGAAGTCCCTGGTCATTTGGAGTTGAGTTTTGTGCAAGGTGAGAACTAAGGATTGTATTTCATTCTTCTACGTGTAGCTATGCAATTTGACCAGCGCTATTTGTTGAAAATACCTTTTGGTCTCTTTGTCAAAAAAAAAAAATCAGGTGGCTATAGGAGTGTGGGCTTATATTTGGGTAATCAATTCTATTCCATTGATCAATGAATCTATTTTCATGCCATTACCACACTGTTTCTATTACTATAGCTCCGTAGTATAACTTGAAATCTGGGGATGTTGATACTTCCAGAAGGTTTTTTGTTGTTTTGTTTTGTTTAAGTGTTCAGGATGGGTTTGACCATCCTGGGTCATTTTTGTCTCCATATGAAATTTAGATTTTTTTTCAATTTCTGTGAAGAATTACAATTCAATTTTGATGGGGGATTGTATTGTCAAAGGATTAATAAAAGTATAATATTAAAAATTAAATCAAAATTTAAGAAGACTTCTAAGGATAAAGAAGAGTGAAGGAGGAGAAAGAAAGAGAAACAAATACACATGCATTTATTTAAACATAAATCTATGGGATAATGAAAATAGAAAGTAGCTGTCTGGTTAGGACAGGCAGGCGCAGGCAAGGCATGTGGCAGTGGGTAGGAGGCATGTGAGCCTCTTAGTTCCTTTATGAGAGTTAGATCACCATAAATTAAGTAGGTTAGAACACAACAAATTTATTATGTTAAAAACCTAGAAGTTCTACCTGGGTCTCACTGGATGGATCAAGGGGTAGGCGGATCTGAGTGTGTGTTAAGAGGCTGTTGGGGAACTGGTTTCCCGCCTTACTCTGTCTTTTTTTTTTTTTTAATTATATTCATTTTACATACCAGCCACAGATTCCCCTGTCCTTCCTCCTCCCACCCCTCAGCCTTCCCCCCCAACACACCCCCCATTCCCACCTCCTCCAAGGCAAGGTCTCCCATGGGGAGTCAACAGAACCTGGTACATTTAGTTGAGGCAGGTCCAAGCTCCTCCTCCCTGCACCGAGGCTGCACAAAGTGTCTCACCATAGGCACTAGGCTCTAAAAAGCTGGCTCATGCACTAGGGATGGGTCCCCCACCCCAGGCCACTGTCACTGGTCCACAATCTTCAAGACCCATAATGCACTGAGTCTGCCCTTCACTTATTCGGAATGACTTCTGTAGATAAAACTTGCATTGTCTCATTTTTCTGCCTCCTCTTTCCTTTTTCAGGATTCTTGTGATTACACAAGGCCAACCTAGAACAGGCAGAGCAATTGCTCCATATCAGAATCTTTAATTGCATCTGGTAAAATAACCTCCCCTTCCAGGAAAGAAAGTTATTCACAGTTTCTGGGAATAAGACATGGACATTTTGTGGGAGGGAGCTGGAGGCTGATATTTCTCTGTCTCTTACAGAGTAGAATTGATATTATAATTTATTTCCTTTTTACTTATTTTTTTTACATTTACTTAGTTTGTGTGTATGTGCATACATGTCTCAAGAGTCCTGTACATGTCATGGAGCAGATGTAGGGGTCAGGGACAACTTGTTGGAGTCTTTTTTTTTCTCCCTCAACTGTGTGGGCCCAGGGGAAGGAACTCGGAGAGGCAGTCAGGATTGGCAGCAAGCACCTTTACCCATTAGCCCATCTTACTGGCCCTGTTCCCCGCCCTTTGACCCATATGAAATTAACAAATCAGAAAGGGGAAAACAAACACAAAGACAATACATGCCAGATACACTTTGTGTGACTCTGGACATCCGGGCTTCAATACAACGTATGATCAGTGCTATCCTTTACAGGAGGCAATGTTCTGCTGTTTCGTAACTCGTGTAAGATCATGAAGTCAGTTGGTCATAAAACTGATTCAAGTTATGGCCCATGGTCAGCTGTAAATGTTGTACAGATTTTTTTTCTTCTTTTTTGATTTGTTGTCCCTAATGACTAAGAGTAAAATCTTTGGTATTACCACATGGTTATCAAGTGTTCCTTTTAAGTTCTTCAAGCTCCTTGCAATTGGCAAAGACAAGTAAGAACCATGGACATTTAGTTGCTCCAGGCTGTGAGCTAACACTGCCAGGAAACAGGTGACTTCAGACTTTATCAGCTATGGAAACAAGTAGACAGCCAGAGTCGCAGGTCGGGGTGGGTGGGCAGTAATGATGGGCAGTCTCTAGAAGTTCGCTACCAGTAGCTTCTGTTGTCTTAAAAAAAAAAAGAGAATAAAAACTCATTGGTTAAGACAGGATGGTGGGGTTGGGGGGGGGACTGGATTGGGGAAGAAATAACTAAGAGAAGATAACTAAGGTGAAGAGCTGTCCTTTGTTCTTCTTGGGGAAGGGGAGTGTTAGTTATTGGAAATCAAAAAGACTCATGTATCCCAGGCAAGTGCTCTACCATTGAGCTACATCTATCCCAGCTACCTTTTTATAATGAGATAGCCTCTCACTGGGCTGCCCAGGCTGGCCCTGACCTTGTGATCTTTTTTTGCTTCAGTCTGTTTCTTGTTTTTCAAGACAAAGTTTCTCATTGTAGCCTTGGCTGTCCTGAACTCCCTCTGTAGCCCAGGCTGGCCTCAAACTCAGAGATTCTCCTGCCTTTGCCTCCCAAGTGCTGGGATTAAAGGCGTGTGCCACCACCGCCTGGCTTGTTTCAGCTAGGATTCCACGTTTCTTTTATCAGACGAGATTTAGAGTGACATTTTGGAAACCATAGTACCTTGTGCCTACTGGGTAACCTAGGAGGGGCATCTTGATTTTGAGGCACATATTTATTTAGAGACTGAAGGTGAATGTGATGAATTGGATGTAATGGAGCTTTTGGTTTTTAAAGCAAGAGGGATCAAGACATATAAAGGATTTACTATGATGCGTTAGCTGGGGAGTATAAACATCAAGAATGACAGGATTAGAAAGGAGACCCAAGAGTTCATGAAGCTGTGTTCCTGCGTCATGGTCACTCATTTTTGGTTTAGAATAAACTGTCTTTACTACCTTTGAGGTGAGATGTGTGTTTTGGAACAGCAGTTTGAGATTTGAATACGGGGAATGGAGTAGTTTTGTCAAGGGGAGGTGTGTTTATAGATTGATGATACAAGTCCTTTCTCACCATGCTGGGAGGGTGAGGCATAACTCCAAGTGTGTCTCTCCCTCCCACCCCATTTTTTCCTT